TGTCCCCACGCTAGCCAGTTCTACGTCCAGTCCGTCCTGAAACCGTGTTGATCACCTTGGCCGGGACGAGAAGAAACGGTGGCGTTGCCCGGTCTCGAAGTCGCTGCAACACCACGTGAAATCCGGTATAATCCCCGTTTTCGCGATCATACACGGATCATCCTTTCAGACGTTTATTTTGCTCGCGGATCGGTGGCCAGAGGGTGTCTAGTACGTTTCTAGCGAAGTGAGATTAGAAGGACGATACTACGTTGGTGGTGTCTTTGGTGGTTGCGCGGGAACGTTTTGTCGAATCGGTTGGGTTGATAGGTATGTATAATTGGAACACGAATTGCTTATTGGTGTTGTAGTTCTATCGTTATCTTGGTTTGTGATCACTAGACTGAGGTGTGTGTGCATTTATAGGAAATTTATGTAGCCAGTAAAATACAGATTTTAATGGGATTTAGTGGTGCAGTAAATCTTTGATGAGTGGTCGAAGGATCTTCGGCATTGAATATTAAATATTTTATAAACTAGTGGCTATATGCGGCTGAAACAAATGTTATTGGCTTGTGAATTATGAGCTCTGTCACTGGGCTAGAGCATAGTAAACGTCGGCGTTATATCTGGGGAGGTCTTCTTGTCAGTGCTTGAGGAGCCTGAGGACAATGATCGAGGAGTTACTGTATTTATATATTACTATCAACGTAAGAAGACACTTAGTGTAGAATAAACTTCTATATGATTTTCATGTTTATCCATTAATGTCTAGAGTTTTGAATTTGTATAAATATCTGTAGTTGAGTGACCGTGATTGAGGTATCAGTGAATGGTGATACGGAAGGGAAAGGGAATGGACTGTTTGAAATGATGGTAATGTTTGTTTATGGTGGACTGTCGGTAAAATGAATGATTTCGGTGCTAGTAATGGACAGTGAACGAAAGTAGAGCGTAATGAAGGGGTGGTGAATTGAACAGGAATATAACAATCGGTGAAAAGAAAAGCATTTTAAAAGAAAAATGATTGTTATATTAATACCAGAGTGTCCGCAACAGTGTACAATAATGTGACAGGTTAACGATATTAGTAACGGGAGATTTTTAATGATTTTTATTAAAGGCACCAGTCGTTTTGACTGCTTTAATAGTTCTAGTGTTAAGTCTATATGTATAATATTTTATACATATACGGTTAATGGTGTTGTTGAGTAACGTTATTCGCGGTACAATCATCGTACAAAGTACAATCGACTAGGAGGTTTGCCTTTACGTGAGAACAAATTGAAAATGTTGAATGAAACTTTTTCATACTTTGCTTCGTTTTCGAGAAGATAAAACCTTGGTTGCCGTGTAGTTTCGTTTATGGTTATTTTTAATTCTGTTGAAGTTTATAGGGGTCACGATGACATAGCAATATTTATTTTTCACAATAACGTTGCATGGATTGTTACTTGAAAAATGGGACCACCAGGAAAAAGAGTGTATTACCTACTGCAAGTGGATACTGTCAGTAATAGTCAGACATAGTCAGACATATTTAAAAGCTGTATCAATGAATTTTTCACATTTGTTTCGTGTGCGACAGGAAGCTCTATAGGAAATAATTGTATTCTATAATTAGGAATTTTTTTTTATCTAGAGATAGTATATCTATTCAGCTGCATAATATCAATAACAATGTATTATGTGTTTAATTAGAGTTTTGTAATGTTTCAAATAAATCTTTGAAGGAAAGATTCTTGTTTCTATTTACGAAATTTGAGTTAAATATAATGTTCTATTTAACATTGATCTCTATGGATAACACGAAAAAGACTTATTTTGAAATTGACGTTGTGACACTTTTCGTGAATGTTTTCGGTACATTGATCTGATTTTTAACCAGTTAACTCGAGGGAAAACGAGTGACTCGTTAATGGTAGTCGATTTCACCTTTTAGTGACTTCACCATTTGCTTATCTTGTTTACCTAATGGACTCTTACATTGGACTGCATTGCAAAATCCGATTTGTTAGAAGCTACTCAGATGCACTATTAAGCTTGAGTGACAAAGGATATAGAAACAAGAACCTAGTTGCCATTTCTATTTTCAACTAACAGTAAGGTGTATAACAGAACGAAATATGTGATACCTGTTGAACGTACATATAAAATCATTCCACCGTGAAAAATGTTTAGTTAGCATATAGCGAATCTGGCGCGTGAGAACGTTAAATATTTTACTTTAAAATACTTCGTCGAGCAACCATTCTTGTACTTTTATGACTTTATTACTGTTGTATGCAGAAACGTGAAAACAATCGATGCACGTAAAAAGGAAGTAGAACTTGACGATGAATATTACATTAACATTTAATATCTTCCATTTGTCATTTCCTTTATATTGTACGTTATTTATATTCGGCCAACATACTTGCAATTAGAATTATTTTATTGAACATTTTTGGCCATTAATGAAACCCAGTAACCGCTACTCAATTTAAAGTATATTATTGAGAATTCAGTATTAATGTAAATATTATTAACTACTTACGAAGATTTTTTTCATACTCATGGTTTAATCGATTTTTATTCTTCATACTTTGATTCAATCGATTGGTTTTCGTAAAAAAAAATAAAACCTTGATCTGGGTTCGGTTGGTTCGCAACGGAGAAGCTAAAATTACTAAATACTGTTATATTTAGTTGTTACTATTAATAGCAGTTCGACAAGATATATTTGTAGATGAAACTTTCGTTTCTAAAATTATCTAAACAACATTTTTTTTTCACCTTGTTTAAAATTCGTCAACGTGATCGCATCGTCTACACTTGATTTAATAGCTTTTTATAATTCGCAATGTTGCACAAGAAAAACATGCAAATTCATGGTAAATCTTGAACTTAACAAGACATCGACTGTTGTGTCCACGGCCATGCATATTTAACTAATCATTTTAGGCGACACTTTACATATATTACGTTATTAAATTTTGACACCTTGTTAACCGAAGACACATTGCAAACAAAACAGACCTGGGCACTTCTCAAATAATATGACTTGAAATATTATTTTAAATAACATGTTATTAAAAAATTGTAATTCTTACAAATAATTGTGAAATTGTTCTTTGCAATTCCATCAGGTGACTAGGTCTGAGTTTCATTTATTGACATTTTTCTGAAGGGTGCAGTGCAAATTGCTGTGAAGATTTTTTAAAGTAAAATCGTATCTTTGCATATTATTTTGAGTATCATTTCTTTTGCCAAATTTGAAATACAAAAATAACAAAATAATTCATTATTTGCAATTGCTATTGTTTCAAATGAATCGTTAATATTTTTATATCCATATAATAGAATTGAAAAGTAAGATCATCTGATAAAGTTCCGGAATAAATTATTTCAAATAATTATTTCTTATTTTCATTACAAATCAAACTTGCCCAGGTCTGCAGTGATGGATGCAAAGGATCTACAAAAAATCGTACCTTTTTTCTCTTGTTCCAATAAGATTGAATAATTCATTGGCTGAACCGTGAATATTTGAACACGAATTTCGATGACGTACGGTTTCGTTGAAAATGTCATTATTCACTGTCATTCTGAAGCTTCCGATTGTCTCTTGGTTGAAAGTTCGCGACGACACTGGCCAAATCCTGATACTTGTCGTTATTCTCTGGTAAACGATCGTTCTTCATAAAATCTATTTTACGTCTCATTGCGTTTATTTATTTCTGTATTCATTCTTCAAACTAAAGCTGATTTCTTCGCCTTCAAGGTCACTTCCAGGTCATGGTGTGTAGGTCGTTGAACTCATCTTGACGCCGACTACCACATCGCATTATAAAAAATACATGTTAATGTGAAAAGAAATACGATGATTTTACTTATTTTCACATTAATGAATCCATTGAATATGAAGGGTCTTTTTTTTAAAATGGAGGAATAGAATTAAGTTGTTATATTTTTTATATGAATTTGAATTCTTTTTTAAATTGAGCATGATTCAAATAATTACGTATTGTGGTGTGAAGATTTTATGAGACATTTGCATTAATGCATTAAATTTTAAGGATGTTTAAAAGAATGAAGGAATAGAATTAAATTGTTACATTTTTTATATGAACTTGAAATTTTTTTAAATTGAATATGATTGAAATAATTATGCATTGTCGTGTGAAGATTTTACGAGACACTTGTAGGAAAGCTTAATTCGTCTTCTGGTTATTCCCGTCGTAGTTATTTAACGAATTCTGTTCACGCACAAGGATCGGTCAGCAACTCGAAAAAAATTTTTGCAACGCGCAATGAATATGTTACCTAAATCGTGAAATTTCTGAGGATATTGTTGTATCGCACGCCTCTTTCGTCTAATGAATAGCAATGCCCTGCGTATATAAATAGACTGTTGAGATTTATATAAACTCTTAATTTTCTCGTCTTGTTTACAAATACAGAAAGTAAATACTCATTACTTACGCAAATGTTCATTAGCACTAGAAACAAGCTAAAATGACTTGTCAGTACACTCTTATAACAATGATTGAAGTACCATAACAATACAATTTTCTGAGATCTTTTGCAACTTTTATTATGACATAACAGTGAAGAAATTAGCTAATTTATAAATGTATTAACTTCCAAATCCGATCGACATAGATATGTATTTATCGTCGGTAGTTTCAGTGTTAATATTATTATCATTTAAATTTCGACATTAATTGTTACAAAATCTCTTAAGTGTTCGTTCATCGATGCATTTACTTTATATGCTACATATTCATAGTAGTATCAAAATTCTATTCAGTCTTGTTCAGTTTCTATATCTGTGCGAATGAGAAATTACTCTATCTACTAGTATCTCCAGGAATTAAAAAAGTTGTTTTTGTCGGTTTCTTAATTTTTTATATGTACAATATTATTGTACGTTCAATCGAAGTTTCTATGAAAGTATATATTTCTTTTCTTGTCCGTTTCAACCATATTTCTGTTACATTTCACGGCCTTCTATGCTTTTTTTCCAGCGTTTCTTGGAAATGGCAGACTCAGAGACTCTGTCTGTCGCGGAGTGGTTCCGTGGCCGAAACATTTTCGTCACTGGCGGCACCGGCTTCATGGGGAAAGTTTTAATTTACAAGCTGCTCCTCAGCTGCCACGATCTTGGTAATGTTTTCGTGCTGGTCAGAAAGAAGAAAGAGGTCGATCCGCACACGAGGCTGCAGCACATGATACAGGTGAGACGTTTGTGGGTGTTACGCATCTGAACCCAGAAGGGAAATACCGTGACTCAACGTTATTCCTTGAAAGTTCAACGGAAACAAAGAAGTACTTGAAATCGCGAAAAATCACCGTCACAGTTTATTGCCAGCCACGAGGTGTGAACATGCTTGTGTCGCAATAATAAATTGTTCCGAGTCCTGCATTTTCAATTTGGTTTAATGCATTTTATTACGTATGAAAGTACAGGAATTATTTTTACACGTACTTGCCAATTACTTTACAACAGGATTACTAATAAAGTTACATACATATGTGAACCTAATAAAAAGAAACAGACCATTCTACTGCGACCTATGCCCAAACCAAACATTTAACGACCGACCAAACAAAAACAGAACCACAAAGGCAAAAATATGATAGAAGAATCGAGAAATGGCGTAAATGTATAGTAAGTGACGCATAATATTTTCAAGACTAGACTGTCTTTTGGTTTTCCGTGAATAAATAATAAATCTATGAAAAGAAGACCACGAATTAATTTGTACACCTAATATTTAAACGAACGATGTAAATTATATCTTTACGTAACCTCACTTTAAACCAAACATTAATAAACAGTATATTTTACATTCTTCGCCATGTATACCCTTTTTTTTTACTAAACAAAATTTAAATAGAAATGCTACATACGCGCCGATCTTCGATATGAATAACGAATGTTAGTTTTTAAAGATAACCACATCTTCGTCGACCATTTTTTTAGCCTCCACCAATCGTAAATAATCACGATCTGATATAATCAGATTTCATTCAGAATAATTTTGTCAGTCCGGCAAATTATTGTTCGGCACATCGATAAATTACATCTATCGTGTACCTCTCTGTCAAGGTTCCGTTGACCAAACAGCCGTGTCCTTCGATCGTTCCCAGCCGACGATTTACGATCGACGTGGAACACACGATACATACCCACTTTTCGCGGAACGAACCGCTGAGAATTTTCTAGTTACGCAAACGCCACGAAATGTTAATTTAATGGTTCTACATAAACGATAGAATTCCCGGGCCAGGTTCAATGAAACTGGCTTTTACTTGGCAGCGCGTAACGACGCGACGACGTCACGCGGGAAGAAACACCGGGTTGCTTAACACGAATATAATCGATTCCCGGATCCAACTCGAACGGCGAACCTTGACGAGCCATCGTACGTCTTCGGTTTATCGTTTTCGACTTGTTCCTGTCGCACAGTACTACATTATGACTTATCTTTTTCTCAAAATCAGTCCACAGTTCCACTCGTTCATATTTCCACAAAAATATTAACATATCGACTGCCACAGCGAAAAAGGCCGTATGTAACCAGACACGCTTAATTTTGTTTTTAACCCCTTGCCTTATATAACATCGAGTCAGACTCGTGTTGACGATTTCAAAATCGATGCAATCGATTTTTTAGTAAACTTGGAGCGTTTTTTTTTTTTAGTTCTTCCTAATGAAATTCTCTTAGTTTTTGGATAGAGTTGGGCAGAATTTTATTCGAATAATACACAGTGAAAAATGGTAGTATCTAAGGGTGTCGTTCTGAGCTTTAAACAGTTAATGAGATTAAATAATTGTTCAATAAATGTCGTTTCGTTCATAAAGAAGTATTATTTTATTATGAAAACTGAAATTTTCACGTTTAAACAATTAAAAATGACGAAATACCTTTTTTTATCCTTTATTCGTTATTCGAAACTTTTTATCTAGATAATGAGTTTGCCTATCTCTGTTTTCGGAGGACTTGACATCTCTTTTTAAATCTAAATAGTGGGGGAATGCTGAGGTTCTGGATTTTGAGTGGTTCACTGAGAAATATTAGAAAGAAATAGCAAGTTCTCCGAAAGTGACCGGTCTTTTTCTAAAGTATACAGGGTATAACGAAAATGTTGGAGGAACAATGTTATCTGAGGCTTTGTTAAGGAGATATTAACGAAAAACCCTGACCAGTTAGAGCGTGAGATTATCGGTCGAGTTCCCGCAGTAGAATTGGCTACGCGCTGCGATTGGTAGAATCGAAACTTCATTGTTGAGAAAATTAGTCAATAGAGGTAATCCCAGGATTACATGTAATCGATTTGTTTGCGATTTACTAAATGAAAAACGTCAACTGATGGAACATAATTAGTGTTACGTGTATACAAAATGTCGTCAATAAGAGATTACCGATTTTCTTAGAGAATGGATATTTCAGGAAATTTCCATTGTTACAAGATTGTTTTGCAAAGACCAGAATCGAACGATAGTTAACCAATTAAAGAGTTTCTTTAAGTGAAAAATAAAATATAACCTGTATTAATCCTTATTGACCCTGCTGATCTCCTCGTTTATTCTTTATTTATTCTTCTTTTTTTAAATTATTTTGAATCTTGAAATAATTTGTTTTTAAGAAGCAGGAAATACAGAAAAAATAAACGTCAAATTTAAGTACATTGGATACTAAAAACAATAATATAATCTCGAGGAGAAGAACAGGGTTAAATTGTTTTTATTTAATAATGTCATCAAGACCGTTTCATTATTTTGAATTTAATCGAATATTTCAATCAAGCAAACATATTTTGGTATTACTTCCAGTTTTGTAGATTAATCTCTGGTAACATCTATTCGTATACTTATCAGCAGTTTGTGTGTATTTGCATACATATTCGCGATCTACCAGTCTCATTGCAAGATGGTGTCCTGGGTTTAGAGATATCCTGTAGGTACACGTGTATGCAGCATAAGTATTATGCTAATGATTGTGTTAACGCTGGAATTCAGTGAAAAAATTCCAGTAATTACAGGTTGTGTATAAAACAATGAATAAGAACTAAACGTAAAACGCAGAAGTAGAATTTGCATACCAATTGGTAATCGCGTCAAAGTACATAATTGTGAGTTTTTAATCGGTGTTCTGCTACATTTTAGTAGAAACATGGGAAACTGGTTTCCAGTCGCGGTGATCCAGTTAACGTAAATTGTGTCCGTCGTTCTAAACGAGTATATTCGAGGTGGTTTCAGTACTACGAAAGAAACTTATAATAAATTTTTTTTGTAGTTTGTATCATGAAAGTCGTAACTTGTTTTTAAAAATGTCTATATTTTGCAACAAATGTTAACTTTTTTCTTACCTCATAACCATTAATAAGCATTTCTGATAGATCTTTATGAACTGAATACGAATCTGTAAACCATTCTATCCTAGCACGTCCAGTTTGTAGAAGAAAGTTGCAAATTTTCCACTTTGACGGTGTGTTGTGTTTTTACGGTACTAATCATTCGTTGTTTTTGACACGAAATAATTCTCTGGACCCTCCTGAACAGAATTCTGTAAATTGTTATTAGACTTCAGAAAAATTGCAATTTTGTTAAAATCGATTTTACCCAAAACTGGACGTGCTAGGGAAAAATGATTTGCAGATTCGTATTCAGCTAATAAAATTCTGTCAGAAACGCTTATTAACGGTCATGAGGTATTTTACGTGTTGAACAGTGTTATTGAAAATTGTAACGAAATTGACAAATGGCGTAAATTGAACTTCTTGCAAAAATTATCAAAATAGTACGAAATTATAGACGAAATTTTGTAATGATTAGTTATTGATTGTAAACAGATCTGGATGAACATTCGTTGTTTACAAAAATTACGACAACGGATGTCCTTCGGTCGCCGACTAAAACGCTCAAACCGTGAATGCGATCTAAATGCCACTCAGGTGACTTCGATGCATGGTTACGGTATATCACCGTCGAGCAAGGGGAACGTTAAGGCGCCATTCTAAAGATGTAATTTTAGTCTTCATGAGAAATAATATTCAATAGGAACTCGATATTCTTACGAAAATAATGAAAAACAATAAATATAGTACTAATAAAATATGTTCAACTTTAATACTCCAACTTTCGTTATTTAGATCATTCTGTGAAAATACTTTTGTTTAAAATACGTTCACTCGAATTTTCGTTATTCGACCGTTTAGATCATTCAGTGGAAATACTTTTTTTTAAAATATGTTCAATCTAATTTTTCGTTATTTAGATCATTCTGTGAAAATACTTTTCTTTAAAATATGTTCACCCTAATTTTCATTATTTAAATCATTCTGCGGAAATATTTTTCTTTTGTTTTAAGGAGATTTTTTTCTATAGACAAATAAGTATCACACTTTCCTACTTGGTATAAATATAAAACGTAAAGTAATATGTTAATAGGCATTACTGAAACAAAAAAGTGAGAACGTAAAACTTCACAAAACAAAAAATCATGGCTTATGGGCGTTAAGGGGAAGACGAAATGAAAATGATGATTATGTTTCGAGTTATTCATTTGAGGAAGTGGATAGAAGGAACTCAAATTTTATATGCACACCTTCACTCGTGTGCAAGCAAGGTCGGCGCAGTGAGTAATTGTATGAGGCTGAGAATAAGGCAGAGAATGACACAGGAAAAAAAGTCGTGTCTGACCTTGCAGCCTACTCAAATTCGACTTGTATTCAAAATAGGCAGACTTTGTTTATCAGAGCAGATCTCTTCCATAAAATAGCTACCAGAATTTTGTTATTTCCTATCTAATAATCTCGAATACAAATAATTCATTAGGTATATTGCCAATTATCTCTGAATTATGATAAAAAACAACACAATATGGCGAATGGTTGTTTATAAAATATGCGAAGTCGCTGTTACCTCAAACATATTAAATAACCTATGACGTAATATATAATTATGTATTTTATTTAAATACAAAATTCATTAAGAAACAGCCAAAACGTGGCCAAGAAATAAAAGTGAATACTAATGGAAGTTAAAATCCTTCAAGGTCGTCATCTGTCGAGGAACCTGAACGTTGTCCACACGCCGCGAATAAACGAACTGTTACTCCACGTGTTGCATAATTAATTAATACACACACATAACCGTACGATTCGTATTCGAGCCTTACTTTCTACCGATCGAATAATCATAACAAACACCAAACCGAACATTGTCCATCGAACAAAGTGATTGTCCCTGCAGAAACTCCGTTGTCCAACTAACTAAACATGAATTCGTTCGATTCTGTAACTATTTATTTCGTGCGCCTCTTACGTGGACATCGCAAGGTCATCGAGTGAAAAAAAAAAAAAAGAAGGGTTCCGCTCATTTCGATCAAGGTCTAGCCCATGTACTCGATTAATTCCCATTCGATGCTGAATAGATCCGAGATTACTAAAGTGTTGTTTTCCTTTTTTTATCTCCGACTTAACATTGCGCAATCAAAGATGACACGTGACTTATTTATATCAAATTTCACAAGTCATCAGTCAATGACGCGCCCACGAACTGAAAGTGAAGGGGACCATAATGACGAAGGTATGCAGTCGATCATTTCACTGTCTTTCGTTCCCAGACTGTTGGTGAATATCACCACTAACGGGGAGAACAGGTGTCGTTCGTTGTTAGAAAAGAGCCACACGTATACGCGTAAATCGTTGAATCCCGTCGCTGGGAAGTGAACAAATCTCCTTTCCGTTCGTTAGACTTAAGGCTGATTTATACCTTTTTCTTCTGGACACGGTGCAGTTACCCAGATCCATTCCACTCAGGAGAAACATTGAATATTCATGTACACGATTGACATGTTGTGTCCATTTCAGTGGTCGATAAGAAAAACAATTGAAATTAGTGACAGCTGCTTTTGACCCCAGTAATTCTTAATGGTTTTCTGACACGTTTGTTTTGAAAGGAATTTTTTCTTTTGTTGCTTCTAATTTATTATAAATTTCATGTAATATTACCTTGCGTTAGATTGTATCATGCATTATGTACATTACTAAATTTTAAAAGTTAACGTAATATATATTCAATGCTCGTAGTTCCATTGCTAAGAATTTCTTTTATTGCATTTGTGTCTCTTGATCACTGTCAAAGTATGTCATTCAAGTTATTTTATACCTTGATCGCCAGCGTCTTCGAGAATGTTTCTAGAATGTCAGCAAGATGCTCTCGGAATGTACAGGAACTGACACACCCGGCTACTGTACATTGTCACCAGTAGACTACGGATTTTATGCATTTATAGAATATTCGATAGTCTGAAATTCAGTAGAAAAAAAAATTTCAGAAAATTGATTTAGATGTTCTCTTTATTTCGAACCTATTAAAACCCTTAAGAGGGTAAATAAAGTTTTCTTTACGTCCAGATTCAAGAAATTAATTCATAAAATTCTATATTTGCATAAACATCCGCAGTCTAGTCATCAGTAAAATACGTTACAAACGAACGTTCATGTTTCGAATCTAAACTAATATGATACTAAAATAAATATAATAATATTGTGACAGCATCATTGAACTCTGAAACGAAGAAAATATAAAAAATAAACGGTGGTCACTGTTACTGTTTCAAAATGAGCGGAAGTTGAACAGCGACCAATACTCTCCATAGATGTTTCTCTATTTTAATATCCTGTGGATATTGTAAAAACGTTTCCAATGTTACATTTTCAGTCGTTCATGAATTACCTTGAATTGCTGTAATTGATACAGTGGGCTTTGATTAATTTACACGGTGGTTTTTCTTTTCCACAGCAAGAACCGTTCAAAGTGATCAAGGAGAAGTATCCAGAAAGACTGAAGAAGATCATACTGGTGCCTGGCGAGACCACGACGAAAGATCTCGCGTTATCGACCGCCGATAAGGAACGATTGCTGCGCGAAGTCAGCGTCGTCTTTCACATGGCGGCAAATGTTAAATTCGATTTGTCGCTGAAAGAGGCGGTGAGAATAAACACACTGGGCACCATGAACGTTCTGAATCTTGTGAAACAGGTCTGTATTAACTCTTGCATTACACGAAATAAATTATTTCTTATTTTCAACTAAAGTTTGCCCAGGTCTGTAACATTTATAATGCTGCAACTATTATTGATCTTCCACAATTCTTGCGGGATAAAAATTGCACATCACTGCAAAATAAATAAATAAAAATACATTTTCAGATAGCCGATCTCGGAGCGTTCATTCACGTTTCGACGGCGTTCTGTCAATGCACGGAGCCAGTGCTCGAGGAGAGAGCCTATCCGACAACGATACGGCCCGAGGTCGTGATAGACACCGTGAACAATCTGACGGACGAGGTGATCGCAGCGATGACGCCGAAAATGTTGGACGGTCAACCGAACACATACGCGTTCAGCAAGTCGCTCAGCGAGGAGCTGGTACAAAAATGCGGTCTACCTGCGGGCGTCGCCAGACCTTCGATAGGTAAACAACTTCCGTTTGCTCGATGAATTTATAAACCTTTGACTGCTCTTCCAGTCGCGTTACGAAACATCCTGAGTATGACGAAAACGACTGTCACTCGTGGTTTACGCGCATTAATAACACCCGACTAAGGCCTACTGTCCACTAAAACGTCTCGTCATAGACAGTGAGGTGACTTCAAACATTCCTCCTTGTCGATTTTTCATTCCTTCTGTCATTTTTCATCATAGCGGACTGCACGTCACCGGAGCACTGTGAATACACCTACAGTGGGTCACAGGCGTATTCGTAGCCTTGCAATTCTTGAATTCGAATGATTAATATTGTTTAACAATATGTATTCTGAAACGTTTATCAGTAGGGATATATTGTGCGATAACTAAGCTTTCGAATGGTATATTATTAATTGAACATGGTAGTGTATGTAAATGGAACTTGAGGATATCGTTGAAAGTTTGATCTAAAAGTATTGTACATAATTGGTAGAATTTAAGGGGCTACAGGAAATTTACAAATATTTTCAAATATTTTGGTTTCACAAGGGTACAATTGCTACGAGTGCGAATACTTTTGTGAGTTTTATTTATATTACTATGAATTTATATACTATTTTACTATATTATTATGAATATACCATATTATTACAAATTCGTTCATTGTTAGCTCTTTACACCAGGCTCCCATTTTAAGGTAACTTAACACTGTCACCTCTCCATCTCAGTCTCTACGTTCCCATCGTAAAATCCCTTTCACCCTCTCGACATAGCACTTTCTCGATCTATTTCGTCGTGTTTATGGTTGTTTGAATCGACATGCTCGAATTTCAGTGATTGCATCAATGAAGGAACCAGTGTCCGGCTGGGTGGAGAACATGAACGGACCAACCGGTTTGATGGTGGGAGCTGGAAAAGGTGTGATCAGGACTGTGCTTTGCAACTACGATTATCTGTTGAACGTGATACCTTGTGATATGGCTATCAACGCTGTAATTGCGTTGGCGTGGAAGGTGGGAATAGAGAAACCACCGAAACCGATCTTTATGAACGTGACCAACGGGACCGAGAATCCTCTTTCTTGGGGCTCTGCTGTGAACACAGGAAAGAAACACGCCACTACGTATCCGTTCACAGGTAATTATAAGTCGTCCAATTATGCTGTTCAATGCATACAAAAATTTAAAACCCGCTCTGATAACCAGTTGTATGCAAGTTTCAAGCAAATTTCCAGCAAACAATGACAAAATTTGTGCAAACAACCATCCAGTCAACCAAACCTGCAAAGCCAAATTTTGTCCAATATCTGTTGTAAAGCAAAGGCTACAAGTTTGATGCAAGTTTTGATATAAACAACTTATTCGCACATTGACAGCAACATAGGTAGCAAATTGGCTTGCGGAAATCTTGCTTCGGTTTTGTCCTCAATTTGAGTCAAATGCGGAAACAGATGACTGGGAATTTTTAGAAAACTTTGGTTATTTATTGCTGGTAATTTGCTCGAAACTTGTACGCAACTAGTATCAGGGCATAGCCATCTGTTTCTGTATTTGACTTGGATTTTACAGGAAAAGCCTGCTGACAAAATGGTAAAGCAAATTGGCAGCAAATTGGCAGCAAGTCTTGCAACACAACCCAGGCTAATTAGTCTAGGTAAATTTATAACCTATATTGCAAGACTTGCTGCTAATCTGCAGCCAATTTCCATGCAAGTTGTTGGTAGCAGATCTTGCATCGAACTTGTAAAGTTTACAGTTTTGGAGTTGGCTAATTAAATTTGTTCAGTGTGAATTATCAAGACCACATTGCCAGACCATATGATTAATATTTTGAGTTCCCTCTTTACATTCACATTCTGAATCAGTAATTCATAAGAATTCATAATCAGTAACAACAGTTCGTAATAGTAATATTGTTAAAGGATCGATTTATGTAACGTAATCTTTTTTTCAGGCGTCCTCTGGTACCCAGGCGGAAGTGCAACCACGTCGAAATTCTACCACTGGATCCGTGTAATTTTCTTTCATTTTCTCCCCGCGTATGTGCTCGATGCTTTGATCGCTTTAACGGGAAACAAACCGTTCCTGGTACGAGTGCAGCACAAAGTCAATGCCGGTATCGAGTTGATACAATACTATACAACGAAACAATGGGACTTCCGGTAATTATAAATATCATGAAATTGTTAATACGCTAAATCCACTATAAATATTTACCAAATACAAATTGCAAAGAATCACTTCCTGGAATCCGTAACAAGGCTTTAGGCTACCCGTTGAAGTGTGCTCTGTTTTGACCCTCATCCGTTCCTCATGTTCCCAATTTAATTTGTCCCTCGGCGTCAAATCAACAGGGTGATAAAAAATTATTGCAACGAAGTGAGAATCACTCAAATTTTCTTTAATATTAAATTCACGGAGCATCGGTTAAGTTTACCCACACATGACAAGAATAATATAATTTCTTAGGAGAAAAATGTCACAAATCGACACAAGGGACTCTTAAACCGTTTTAATTCCCATGAAATTATCGACCACGAAAAATTTATACTAGTTCTCACGAGAGTTTCACTGATTTTCTCGTTTTATTTTCAGGAATGATCGCATGAAAAAACTACAGCTCGAGCTGAACGAGTCCGACCGAGAAGAGTTCTTCATGGACACATCGTCGATCTCCTGGGACGACTATATGCTACGATATGTTCTAGGCATTAGGCAATATTGTTTGAAAGACGATCCATCGACCATACCTCGCGCCCAAAAAGTTTTGAGGTACTTATACTTCGCGGACTGGTTCGTTAAAATCTCATTGACGCTGTTCTTTATGTGGTTCATTTACTCGTGGATAAGTCCAATCAGGGAACTGGCAGCCACGCCATTCGACGTACACGAAATTTAGCGTTTACTGTATGTTGTAATATATAATACTGACTTTACCTCACGGTGATAAATTTTATAGGAATATTTCCTATTAATCTTTGAATCCATACTCCTGTGCGTATAATCAAAAACAAAAACAAAAATATTTGGTTACCTCGACGACATATATGAAAGAAGCAGAATTCATTATTATTCTCAGAGTCACGACCAAAAATGGCGTCTCACGTACAAGTACCGTTCAGAAGTATTCGAACGCCTGGATTGATTTAGGAAGAACACAACGAACTTTCTCTTCATTACACTACCGGTCGTTTCTGTCTTCTTTATGATATTTCACACACTGCTCTTCGATGTGTTTACTTTATTTGTAATGTCACCGATCGAATAACTTTTACCACGAAGATCACTGGAGAACTTTTTTTCACTTGAAATTACTGCAACTTTCGACACTTACAGTACGTTAGAGCGAATATACTTTGTCAAGGGACGAACAAAAAATGATTAACCCTCCGTGGACGGTGCCAGAGTCACGCGCTCGCGAGAGCGATACGCACATAGTGATGGAGCTGACCGTGTATACTGACTACCCGAGCTATAGTGACTTTAGATGTGACCCTCTCAGTGGGTGTGCCATGTGATACCCTTCAGGGTACAAAATACGTCATTACGCTAAATACGTCATTTGCTACTTCTTCAAAATAGTTGCCGTGCCTGGACGTTCAACTTGCCACCGAAACCCTTAAAGGCGTGAAAACTCCAAATCCCTGCTGTTTGTTATGAAGTCACTATTCCCTAAGTAATACACACCGTCGGGTGAGGGCCATAAAATGTATACCTGAGTCTAAACATTGTCGTGAACTCCAAAGGTCGTATCGTTCGAATAATTCTGAGCGATATCTCTATAGAATTACCATAGCATTGAAATACTCAAACATGACCAATGAATAGATTACGGGATGCTTGTGCAAAATTCAAATGTTTATAACCAATTTATAAAAATTCAGAATTAGAGAGAAATTTCATTTGTTTTTTTCTTTCTTTCTATGAAACGCTTTCAGTAGTTATTTAAGAATGAAGTAATCACGTTATGAAATTGTGATTAAAATTTTTATATTATATTGTATTGTTTGGATAGTCGTGTACGGTCGATAAATAAGAAATCTGTAATTCGGTAAATAGGTTTTGTAATATACACTGCGTGTTATACGATTCTTCGTTCGTTATAAGAATATATTGGTCAAAGGTCACCTAAATCTTTTCAACGATTTCTCCATCTAAAATCGCACAAAAAAAAAACGAAACGAACACGGTATGTTTGATTCACGAAGCGAACCGACACCGCGTGTTAATAATTATTACGAAGACACTGATCTTTCTTTCTGCGCGCGACGTAACCTGTGTGATAAATGTTTACTGAGATGCAATAAACAAAACGTTTATTGAATAAGCGTAAGTGAATGCGTTTAAAGCATAGGATATTGTGTCTGTATAGAATGTACTGATTAATAAAGATAATAAGACAGAACGATCGCTTATTTATTTTGTAATTGTACATTGCAGAATTTCAAACTTACTAATCCTTTGATTTTCTATAAATAAATTGCAATTTTCTACTTAGATACAGTATTACCTTTGGTAAGTGTTATGAATATTTACAATATAGTATAACGGTGTTTTTCATTTTCATTACTGGAAACATACCTTTATTATTAACTTTTACTTGATATTACGGTCATAGAGGTGATTGTTGTATAATACTACTTTCTATACGTGGTAGTAACATTTATAATAGAATGCCATAATTGTTCTTTATTCTACGCTATTAGCACCATACACACTGATGCATCAAAGTGGAAGAATTCTTGTTTACCACTTCTTCATTCATTTTCAAACAAAAAATAGTTGTTTTCAAACCTGTTTATTATAATGAATAATTTAAAAATATAAGGAATTCAAAAATTGGTAATTTTTACTTTTGTACATAAATAGAATGTCTGTGAATGTTTTCGACAGGGACAAAGTTATCACTAGCACGAATCAATTCCTGTTTTACCGACCAATCGTACTAAAAGAAATGTTTTAAAATATAATCCTTTGGTTAATGTTTATTAATATTCTATCACTCCTGCTTCTTCTATTCTAAAACATTTTGTACATTAAGTGTTACAACATTGTAGAAACGCCTTCGACATTTATGCATTTCAAACAGCGGTTTTAGGCCAATAGGATGAACGGACAGAAAAAAAAAACCTGGTGAAATTGGCCTGTCACGTAGATCATACTCAAACGAACATGCAAAGCTGTAGTTAAGTGGGCAAATCTCTCGAATAAACATATCCTCGTGCACTGACATTTCGGAATTTCGACATACTCGCTCGTTTACGCGCGCGTACATACGTACGCCTAAACTCTTCCGTGAAATTTCAGGTGTGTTTTCTTAATTCCCGCGATATCCGTGCTAACATTTGACGCGACGTTTTAAACAGTTGAAGAGGGTCGTCCGCCTACGGACACAGGTTACGTCCGCTAATAACAAACTTACTCATTGATTATATAAACTGACTTTAGAACGGCATCGATTTATTTATTAAAGTAATTGTCGTTGAGTAAATGTTACAGTACACGTGGTTCACATAGTATTCAATAAAGACAATTGTATAATTACCTAACACAGCATATTAATAATAAGAAAGCAAAGTCTTTAAGAATAAAAACAAAATAAATTTATTGACTGGATATTAGTAGAGTGGGAATTTATTAGAATTGATGGTACGTATACACAGCCAAGACAAATGTAAAAGAAATATAAATTTAATAAAATCCCACATAATTATCCAATAATATTTTAGTAACGTTAATACATCTCGCCATTCTGTTATTCTAGATTGGTTCATAAAAACGTAGATTGACATTAATTACATATATATAATTGCAACCAGCGAAAGGTTGGAGTCAAAGTCTAACGACTTAAGGAAAACGGGGATTTCCACGTTAAATGACTGAAGTCAAGGACTATCAAAAAGTTCACGTTTTCTCGAGATTTTGACAGTCTCCCATTCGTCATCGCCTGCTCCACTTTCCACCGAAGGAATGAAACGAAACGTAGTCCACGCGATTACATCTATCCCGATCTCGAGTTCGTTGTGTAAAAGCAAAATTTCGTGGCTTGGTGCAAGAACTTACGCAAGAATACACGAAAATAACGCACAAACACGCGTCTCTGGGGAAATCTTTACTTTTTCTTTTTTTTTTAATTACAAAAAATTTACGGTAATGTTCGTGACTCCTATGTTTTCGAAGATATATGAGCCCAACACATTCTACTCTGTTTCACGTGCTGTGCACAGTCTGGGTGAGAACGAAAAGTACAACCGAGTAAGAAGTTATTCTACGTGCAAAAATACGTCGCAAAATATAGAATAAAAATTTTTCGTACAATGCTTCGTTTCCGAGATAATCGAATTTGAAAATCGATAGGCGTGTAAATGATTCGGACTTGGCTGACACGTCTGTTCACTAGAATCTGTTTCTACTTAATGCCAACAGTGGGTAACTGGATACACACACAGATGTTTTCAAATTCGATTATTTCAAAAATGAAGCTTCATAAGAAAAAGTTTTATTCTACATTTTCGACTAATTTTTCCATGTAGAATAACATACATGTTTGCACCACCTTGTCCTGTCCAAATTGTTAATATGGTTAGACAAATAAATTTTCAAATTCGATTTTCTCTAAAATGAATCATCATACAAAAAAGTTTTATTCTACATTTTCGACTTATTTTTCCATACAGAATAACTTCCTGTCCGGTTGCACCACCTTGTCCTGTCCAAATTGTTAATATGGTTAAACAAATAAATTTTCAAATTCGATTTTCTCTAAATTGAATCATCATACAAAAAAATTTTATTCTACATTTTCGACTTATTTTTCCATACAGAATAACCTCCTGCCCTGATCCATCCTGTACAGCATTACAGAAGAGTATTTGGTGTCGAATCATTGTGAACAGGCTGTGAATAGTACGAAAGTCGACGGTTACCATTAAGTTGTACAATTGGTTTTAGCCAATTGAAGCGTGTGCTAATTGGCGAGACCGAAAATCAAATAGTAGAAAAGACCACGGGTTACCGCGCGAGAAACACAGACGTCGTGCGTTGTGTGTTGAAATCACTAAGTTCCTCGCGGTCGGGTATGCGCGTTTCATACGCTCTTTCAGCTGGCATTCTCCTTTTCGGTCTCACTTTCTCGGCTTTGACGCCGACTGTTTAACCCTAGCTCGACTAGCTCGCGTGTACACGGAAACACACGTTCGAAATCAAACGAAAGCTCATCGGGAATAAAATAAAAGCTGCGAAAAATGATAGAATCTTCCGACAAATGTAATCGAAACGAAGAAAAGGAAAATAGGTTAAGAATAGTCAATTCTAAAAAAAAAAAGTTACGTTAAAATTAGTACAATTTCAAGAAAAGTATCGTTTAACCGGCGAGTACATTTTTTTCTATACACTTCTATATACGTCTGTCACATTATTAGAACTCAATAATTATTTGTTGAAATGAAATAAGTTAAAAATTAAAAATACGCGGATATAAGAGCAACGAATAAAAAGTGGTTACGCGTTAAAAAGGTTCGTCAAGCGGACGCAGTAAATCTGAAGTGGAACGAGATCGTTGTCAGTCAGACCAAGAACAAGGATTCAACGATGCGATATGAATCGGGGCCGTGTTTGTACCCCCTCACTAAATTAATTTTCGTAACAACCTGCACATTTTTATCCCAACCGTCCATTCTTATCTCCTTTCGTTACCCTGTCCCCCTATGGGACACGTTTTGTCACGACGGGTACAGGTAGCAGTAGATTCAACATTTCCTCGAAGGACCGGCCAAGAAAGTGGGACTTGCGTCATCACATTGTACAATGTTTATAAAGGCGGTACGACAGGTTTGTCAACGGGTTCACACGTCATTTTCCATGGAATTCCATTTCCGTGTAATTTTTCGTGAAGTTAAACATTTTTATTCCGACCATGATGATCTGTTTACAGATTCGTCAACCGAGTCGTAGTAAAAAGTTCGCGGTGAAAATCGATCTGCCTCGAAGACACCATCTCTCGACGTATAATTCCTGGATCTTTCGTGTTTTCTGAAACGGAAATATTTAGATATGTGGATGTTAAGTTGAATTTCAATACAGATTTCTGTGGAGAGCACATAAACAGAGATGGGATGGAATGATTTTGAAATATATTTAAAGAATTGAATACATGTATTAAATATGTAGATTAATTAACGAATACTCAGGTATTTTGTATTCTATAATGAACAAATACTCGAAGACAGTTGTATTTCGTAATCATTTCAGGTACCGAATACGTTAGAATTTTGTATTCTGTACCCAACAATACGAAGAATACTTTTATTTATATTTATTCTTAGCTGTATGCATGAATGTATTTTTTGAATACAACTACTCGTAGTGTGTAAGAGAGTGTCCTTTTATGGTTCAAACCGAAAACTCAACACCTAACAGGATAATAAAGCGGCAACGGCCAGCTGGTTGTATCCCTCGAATGTTTTTAAGCATAAAAGGACACTGTGGTCCAGATAAACAAGTTTTTTAAAGGGTACAACAATGACATTCCATTAATTCACTTAAAAGTGAATACCATGATCGACCAAAATAACAAAACGGTGCCGACTCCACTAAGAATGTACAAGGTGTTTTAGGTTTTATGTCGCAACCATTACAACGTACACGCTATAAATAACAAAATCGGAAGCTGTTATGTAAAGATAAATCCGTGCAATCTTTAGTGACCAGCTATAGAAAATAAGATAACATGGAATGATAGATTGAATGTAACTGTATTAATTTTAATGAAGTCATTGTAAGAAAATATTGTACTTCGAATGACATAATTTTGACAATACCCTTTATTTTAATATAAGCTCAGTTTAGTATAATAAATTTATATAATGGTTTGTACATAATACATTCAAGAATCAATATGTATATGTGATAAAATTAATAATCGTATTAACATTATAATATAAACAATGTAACACCTACATGTATGCCAACAGTACTGATCTTAAATTGATATTGATAAATTAATCTCGATAAAAATTGATTTCTCCGAATCCAATATATCGATTTCATTGTAATAATATATTCATTATAATTTTCATTTAATTACTTCTGACATCGATATTTATGTAACATTTGTTGTCGAAACATACTTCCGACATTTTTAGCTTATCTCACGAATCGTACAATACGAGAGCAGTTTTCGTCATATAAAATTGTAATCAATCTCGTGTGCATACATAATGAAACATTTTCCTCGGTTATTTATAGATGATTCTCATTTGCCATGAATGGAATTCTTTCGGGTCGACTACACGCTGCTTCGATTCTCGGGTAATTTCGAAATGACCACTGAAAACAATATCGAGCTTTCTTCCGATTCAGCGAAATAGTAACACATTTAATAACAAACCGTATTCCAAGAATTTTAGGAGCTGCGACCGAAATTACAGAAACGACTAAATAAATTCCGATTAATCTACGTTGAAGATTAATCGTCCTTCTTTTCAAGCCAACCTTCCTGCCCTCAATGGCCGTGATTCCTTGAAATTAACACGTTGCGAAAAAATATACATTCACTTTTACACTACAAATCCAACAAGTACAAAAGTTATGTAATTCTAGTATTACCAAAGCATCGTCATTTTTTAACTTCGACATCGATCATTTCATGACATCGATTGCAAGAATAATAAATGGAATATCGAGTTTATATTATATTCCAAAGTGACAAATATCAATTTATTTCTAAATAGAAGTGTTTCGTGTATACGTATCAATTTCTAAAGCTACAGTAGATAGATTGTCTGCTACAAGCGTCAGGTATAACTACCTTGATGCAACTGTATCATTTATGTCAAGTATATTATATATCATTATTGTTTTTATTACGACGTACACGTGCACTTAAATGAACGTGTTAGTACTAACGAAATGAACGTCGGTGTCTCACTCAGCTGCCTCTGGTACAAATCTATAAAATCCAATAACATTTCATAAATCATTAAATATTATTTTTAAGCTAATGGAACTTAAAGGGTCTTTCTGTGTTAATCGAATCAAATCATCGTAAAATAATTGAGAAATTCATTAAATTCACTGAAAATTAATGATCGATGGAATAATCGAAAATCAAGCAGAGTTCTAAAAAAGCAGCAGTAGCTAACAAGGGGAAAAAATAAAAAACACTTCAAAAAATTGGAATTCCCACGTATAAACGATTAAAAATGACGAAGAACTTTTTTTTATCTTTTATTAGTTAATGAATTTGTCCATCTCTGAAATCAAATCACGAGGAATTTCAATTTACAATCCAACAACTGGGATCTAAGTTTGAAAATTTTTAAATTTGGAAAATGTATGTGTATGTCCTACCGTGCCAGTACCCACCTAACCCCAGACATTGACTGATGAGTATCTCGAATGAAAAGGCTCGGAGGGTTTCGTAATGCCGGTCGAAAATACGCGGACATTGTGCGTTGCTAATAACAAATTAGGCAACTCGAGAGAGCGAGAGAAAAAATCTGACAAAAAGAAAAAGTTATGTAATCGAATAAAGGGCGTTTTACTGGTGTCGACAACAGTTCACCGAGACTTTTTTTATGTTGGATATCCTCTACGTGGACTCTGGCACCGTTTTCTACTTGCTCAAGTTTCGTTTTGTCACGCACGCCTCTCCCGGATAACCGATCGCATGTAAACACGTTGCCTTGTTTTATTTTAATTCGAATAATGACGTTTCCATTTTGAAACGTAAACAAACACCTGAGTTGTGTACACAATACATTGGCAGTAAACATGTTATATTGCAATGTATGCAACTCCTAAATGTCAACTTTTTTTACCTCATCAGAGTTAAGACTAGACTTCCTGCCGAGTTTTTCTATCTCAGATGATCTTCGTTTTTATCTGGCAACATTCTAGCATTCGATTCGTGGTAACTTGAACTTGAATCGTTATACCAGTATATTCAACAATTAAAAATCAAGTAAATCAGAGCAGTTTCACTCCATCATGTTGGAATTCTCAAAATTTCGTTGAACAGTGTAGTTTCTCAGAAGCAAAATAGATTCCATGTTCGTTGCGACTGTACGCTTACTTTAAAAACTGAATATCCGAATCAATAATGCTGCTGAAGAATAAATTTTTAAAAATGTAGTATTTCACTTCGATTTAAAAGAAATCGACAAGTGCATATTTGCTGAAGTCCAGTTTAAAATCACCTCGACACTACACAAGACAAAGGGTTAAATCCAACGAAGAATGGAAAAAGTAATAATTAGTATTTATGTACCATATCAAAATCAATATTAACAAAAGCTAATAATGTTCAATGATCCTTCGAAAGTTCGTGGTCTTCTATCGTGGGGTAGGAAAACCTAACCTCCAAATGAGGGTAAAGAAATTTTCCTCGTATGCTTCGTAAAGAATTTCCATTCTATCAAGGAATGGTTTAACCCTTGTGTGGACAACCGAAATATTCTCAGTTATCGAACAATTGTTCTCCTATTCTGACAGATTAGATAAACATAAATAATTTTATTTCCAAAACTCTTAGTTTTCCCTTTTAATAACATACCAAGTGCTGTTCCAAACAAGAACGTAAAAAATTATGAAAAGAAATTTAGAAATGAGTACCTGGGTACCCGGTTGCCTAGACAAGGGTTAAAATACCACAAATCAGTCCATCAAACTCCACCATTCCCGTGACCATTCGTCATATAAACGATTACGAGAGTAAAAGTATAAATACGAATCGAGTCACTGTTTGTATGTTTGCATAAGTTTCTACAAATACACTACACTTAACATTCCTAATTACGGGGCCTGTGCATCGGGGCGACGATGACTGTGTGTGTCCAGGAAAATATTGGGCCAGCTGTTATGCTTTCTCAGTCTGCATCGGGCTCACCACCGGAGTAAGAACGATCATCGGCTCTCCTATACCGGTCACTCGATCTAACGCTCGCGCTCGAGTTCCCTTCGTTCGTCGATTTGTGGCTGACTAGTGGTGTGTATACGGGTTCCGGATAACACGGTGACGTGAATTCTACCTTGCATTCGGCAAACGTAAGTTGTGATCGAAAATTTAACGAATTTGTTTTCAAACGATCGTCTTTTATAAATTACAATTCGGCTGGATTTAACGTGTATTCGCGTGTTACGTATCGATTCGGTGTTCTTTGGGACACTGTTCTCGGGTCCTGGACCATTTTTCTTTGGGAAACAGACACAGACGTCTTTCTTTTAACGAAAAGTTCCCTGGCATGACATGTTCTACGTCTTTTGTACTTAATCGTCGTCATGATAGAATAGAAAAGAGTTTTAAAATCTTTTGGTACAGAAGAGTTGAAATTAATAATTCTAAAATATTTTACTTCTTTTAATTCAGTTTGTTGATTTAGTAATGTTAGATTGAGATTAACATTTTATTATAAGACATTATCGAACTAAAATTCTCAGTTTCAGTAATAAGAATATGACGTAGTTCCTTCCAAGCATTGTCGTATGATACCACATGTGCAAATTTCTATTCGTTCTTGTAACCTCCTTCTTTATATCATATTATACTTTTTTGTGCATAAATTTGCCTATTATTATTTACCAAACCCAGCAAGTACAGTTCGTCACAATAATTCGAACTCATGGGAGTAAACAACGTTCTGCGTTGACTAAAAAATAAAAAATAAACAACGCTACACGTTGATATCTCTGATGACTTATTTGAAAATTTATATTTCGTTAAGTTTTCGTTTGTAGAACATCTTTTTCTTTATTTTACCTCCTTAATTATTTTCTTTAAGGAAACCAGTGAATATAATAGTTCACAACACCCTCTATGTGAGTTTTTAATATGTATTTTGTGGTATACAAGTATTCTATTAGGTTCAATTGCGAGGTGAATTATGTTCGCGGTCGCAGATTCTTCGATACGTATGTACGCATTTCGCGTCAGTGAAATGCAACTATTCAGAGCCAGAGACGCCAAACTTTCTAGATGAAGCAATACATGAACGTAATAGTAACTGGGGAATTTTATGATATGGAATGAAGTGATTCAACCCGTAACCGTTTTTGTTGCTACGGGTTTTGAAACCGTGACCGATATAGTTTAATTGGTCTAAGTAGTATTTCGAGTTCGCAATATCTTCTTGAAATTTTTTTTAACGATTAAATACTGATTGCTTACCGGTTACCGAATACTGAGTAGTGAGCAACAAGGTATTAAGGGTTGAATACCGAACAGGAAATTTCAAAACTGAGAACACCGAATTAAAAGTAGCGAATTATTTTTAGTAACAAGTACAGAATACTCAATGAGTGTTCGAAGACTCCTTGCACTGAACATTCAATATTTCATAAATTAATGGCCATTTGCAGTTGAAACAAATATCATTGGCTTCAAAATTCCAAGCTCTATCACTGTGCGAAACCTTATTAAAATGTCAGCGTTACACCTGAGGACCTCTTGTCAGTTCCGAGGAGCCTTCGAACATTCATCGAGAATTTACTGTATTACGAAACACCGAATAACGAGCAATGATTTGTAAAAGGATTTGTGAAATACTGAATTCCTAGTTTCGAATAGCAAATTTTAAATATCCCATCGAATACTACAGTTTGAATAGTATCATCGAACTATTTCTGAACTCAAAGTTTCGAATACCGAGTGCTGTGTATGCATACCATAGAGTACCAAGCCAAAGAAAAGGAAAGAAACGCGACAGAATAGGGAAAGCTGTGGCGACCACTGTTCTCCGTTGGGAAGAACTTTGTTTTTAACTCTGTCGAATTATGCTTTTGTCGTTCTAGTTTCTTTGTTAACGGAACGCTGCGTCATCGAATTACCATAAAAATCGGTTGCGACACGCACGAAATATTTCGTCGGTCTGGTCGCAATATTTCTTCCGACAATCAGAATTCATTTCGCAAAAAAAAAAAACGTCAGCTCTGTTTACAAATAACTCCAAGTGTCGAAATTACCTCGTTAGCTTCTTAACCTGAATACATTTTCTATTCAGCCGTTAAAGGTGGGTCGATTGCGAAATCTTCTGGATGCATGTGTACAAATCTCTATTGTCTCGAATTTACAAACGATTAGAATCAAATAGAAATTTCTTTATACTGTCAAGGGTTTTATTAGACTCGAAATGAAACAAATATCTAGTGGAAGTGTACTAAACATTGTATAGTGACTACGAAATAATCGTAACAAAAGCATAAAATTCGCAGTTTAACAATATTAATGAATTTAATATGATAAGCTACAAGTTGCTAGATCAACTCATAAATACTGTGTTTCGATTGAAAGACAATTCACTTTTACTGATTTTGGCTGATCCGCCATATTTTCCCAATTCGGTTTCCTTTATCAATTTTATTCCTGTCCCACCTACTAATTAAAATTATTTCATCCAAAAAAATTTCTATTATTTTCTACAGTACAATGAAAATTGACTGCATTCGTTATTACTACACAGATTTGTGTCGAAAAAATCCCATTTTGCCGCCATCTTTTCAATTTAAATCTGCCCGGATGTTTCTACCATAACGCTAAAAGACAAAAAGCATTTTCGTTGCAAATAACGTTGCATCAGGCTGAATTTTTGTTTATCGTTTCAAAAATGACTGACGTGGCCTGCATACTAATATCCGACTGAACAAACGAACACGGAACCGAAAGGAAAATTACCCATCATGGTGCAATGCGCGCTAAATACGCATTCGAGGCGTCTTGAACGAATGCTTCGCGAGGATCGACGACATTCGTTCGCGGCGTTTACGAAAGTATACCGCAACTTCCGTCACGATGATCTTATTTAAATCGTGAAATTTCGCTGGCATTAACACTAAGTTAGTCTACCAAGTAAGTCAAAATGACTTGTCACTACACTCTTACAACGACGATTAAAATGTTATGACAATACATTTTCTCAGATCTTTTGCACCTTTTATTACGATATGAAAGTGAAGAAATTAGTCAATTTCTAAATTTCTAAATTTTCAAAAGTTTTTCATGTTTATCCACCGATCACAGCAAATATGCGTTTGTCGTCGGTGGTTCTAGTGTTAATGTTCGTTGAATGCTAAAAAAAAATGATTTTTCCATAATTTCAGAAGATGGTGTTGAAGACCATGACGGAAACAAGGGTTGAGGAAGAGATCCCCGACAGGATAGCATTGACCTTCAAGGATCAAAATATTTTGATCACCGGCGGTACCGGTTTTCTGGGAAAGGTCATCGTTGAGAAGTTTCTCAGGTGTTTACCGAACACCAAACAAATTTATTTGCTCATCCGACCGAAAAAAGGAAAGGATCCGAAGCATCGTCTGGATGAAATTTTCAACTCGGCGGTAACTGTCTGATTTTCACCAATTTTACGCTACTTGATCCACGATACGATTCTTCGTTTAATGCGTTAACCCTCTTAATGGTAAGGTCTGGATCATATTCGACCCAAGAAATTCTTCTTGTGCTGTTCCCACCCTATTTTTCATTATTTTTTTATTATTCTCGTTGTAAAATATTTTTTATTATTTAGTATACTTTTAATATTTATGTTATTATATGCTACATAATTCAATTAGTATTGCTTATTATATAAATAAACAGAAATATATGATCAAGATAGTAAAAAAATCTCGGGTCGGATCCGACCCCACCTTACCAAGTACGACCATAAAACCTAACTACCATTAATATATGTATATGTACAATGGAAATGATATCTAGTGACCATCTTAGTCCGAATCGGCCTGAATTTCAAAATTAAACCAGGCATCGTAAACAAGTTTCACCTGCATAGTGTGGGCTCGATTTCAAGCTGTTGTCATAGGCCAAGAATCTAACAGAGAATTTCTCGGTTTACTTTCCAGCTGATCGGAACGTGCGATCGGTGTTATGTAACTCTAAGAAAAAGTAAGTCTACTCCTAGAGTTCAAGCAAACGGGTTTCTCGGAGGAACCTTTCGCCTGTTTAGGGGAAATTGTACAATTGGCCTCTTTCTTGTGATCGAGCATTTGAGAAATAAATCTGCACTTTACTATAATCAATTATACGAATAATTTCGTAGCTTATCGGGGAATCTATAATGGCGTAATAAAGACTTGCTTAATTTGCATTTTCGTATAATCGATCTTTGAAAAGTGAATTTTTTTATAAACGTACGAAATTTACATTCCGGATGAATATGGTCGACCCTCTTACAACCGTAGCTGTGCTTTCGTTACAACGTTATGCAACAGAACAAAAGAGCACAGGAATAGAAAATGATTTTATGAAAGTTTCGTTGATAATATTTCTGAAAAAATTACGAGACATTTAATGAGTATGCATGTTCACCATATAAGGCAAGATGGCTCGTAAAACGATGATACTTCACGAAATACACGATGGGAAAGTCTAATTCTGTACACGTTGCATTAGAGAATTATGTGTCGAGTAACTGCTTGCTGGACCACTCTGTGTCAATGTAAAACAAACGTCTCAGGGATATTTATGAAAGAGTGATTTTATAATGAACATTAGAATATTAAATCATTGTGGTATAGATCACTTACTATCCCCTCGTTTGTAGAGAGTGAAATCGTAAATATTGGATCTATTCCTTGAAGTACCTACTTATATTTCCATATTTTCACAAAATTGCCGTGATGATATAAAATATTATCGTATAGGAAATTAAGTTAGAGGACACTCGATGGTCATTCATATTCAAACATTAACAAAATTCTACGGCGAAAGTATATGTATAACGGTATTCCATGATCATGTTAAGTAACAAAAAGTACATGAAACTAAGTCAAGGCCTCTCACCTAGAGTTGATGGACGTTATTACTATTATTACTATCAAGCCTGGTATGCGTCTAGTACTACTTGGGTGAAAGTTCCACGGTGTATGATGGTGTTATGTCACATCTTTCTAAACGGTGACTGCCAGAATCCGTTCGAACATGATTAGACGGCACAATGTCGTAAGGCTATTGTATAGAACATTTTTTTTTGCATATCGTCGGCACACGTGTGCAGTTTGCAGAAAAGTAAATTAATATAATTGCAAATATTAAAAAATCGACTATTTCACGTGCAACAACCGATTATCCGATCGTTTCATAAATATCGCCGTTTCAAGATTAATTAACAGTTTAGATAAATTAATTCTCTCGATGAGTGTCTTTCATCTCTCAATAATTTTCGTATCCTTCAAAGAGTTATTATTAATTAGTTTAAATTAGTAAAGTTATTAGAATGCACATCAGTTGTGGAATTGCCTGCTAGAAGATTACATTGCCGCCATTTTGAAAACTAAGAATTGCTGGAGTTACGTAAATCTGTTTTTTAAATGAAATTTATTGTTATCTAAACTGTAAAAACTGAACTCGATGGTAGAGTTACCACATTTTGCATAATTAATCTTCTAAATCTTTTTTTTTTTACAAAAGATTATGATACTTGAATATCTTGATTTGTTACTTAAATTGGATGGTGGAAACGAAATTTCTGGTTATTTTAATTTTCGATTAGACGTGTGATTGAAACGTAGATGCTATACGGCATGTATGCGTGTCGAAACACCTAATGCAAGGTGCAAATCTCTCCACGAGAAGTGGTCAAATTGCATCACGTGGAAGAAAGCCAGTAGGTCGGTTCACGTGCTCGTGTTTTATGAATCATTTAACGAGGAAAACGGTGTCTCGGAAAAATCCTCGGCTTTTGTAAACTCATTATCACGGCAGTAAATATGCAAATGAAAAAAACAAGCAATTAACCCGCAAACATCGACGCACACAGTTTTCATAATTAGCATATACTACAATTATTATAAATATAGTTAATTGAAAGTTGTTCAGAATTATTGGTATTCATGTATAATTATTATACTGCGGATGTTTATACAGTTATAGCTCATAAAAATCATCAAGGTATAATAAAATAGTCATTTCGATGGAATCCAATATAATTTTAACTTGTGTATAACTAACTGAATATGTCAATTAATTTATGTACGTAATTGCTACGGAGAGAACATAGTTAATCCTGCAAAATATGGAGCATGTGCGTGCGTATTGTTTGCACAAACGCATTATTTAGAATGCCATTATTATAAAAAACAAAAGAATGACATTTAATTAGAGACATAACAGCAGTTAAAAGGAAAGAACATTTGAACATTAGAACATCTTGTTCCGAACGCATTTCTCATTTTTCTCTGCTTTGACGGAGAATAAATACGTACGTCACACTGCAGTTTCGACATCAATATGACGCGATTCTAGTAATTAAGCCGATTCAATATATGTCAAAGTGTCGAAGGAAATTAAAACTCACCTGCACTATCTCGTGACTGAACTGCAATTTTTATGTTTCTTTAACAAAAAAAAAAACATACGTAATGCGATAAAATAAATATTTCAATGGAAGTCTAATGACGTGTTTATTTCACCTTGAATCGCTGCGAACAATCACAGGAAATAATTTCTCTCATTAATTCCCGTTTTCTTATGAACAGTCCAGGACAATCTATCTAGAAACGGTTTTTCGAAACTGATGAGGCTTTTGATATTTTAAAAAATTGTTGGAACAATTATAAAAAGATATTTACATGCACTGAACGAACACACTGTACACATAATGAATTTACATTGATAGGGACTACCGAATATTATTCAGTAACACGAGCTAATAATTCTGGTTACAGCTTTTTGAGAAAGTGAAAAAGCAAAGAGGCTTAACAGAGCTTCATAAAGCTGTAACGGTCGTCAATGGAGATGTATCATTGCTAGATCTTGGACTTTCCGCCGAAGACAAAAAGGTGCTTTGTGAAAATATCAACATTATATATCATGGTGCTGCGACAGTAAGGTAATTGTGGTATAGAACGAAGTAATACGAGGAACTTATATGGTCAAGTATAATTAAAAATATCTACTTAACTATTTCAGGTTCGATGAGCTGTTAAAGAGAGCAGTACTGTTGAACACTCGTGGCACAAAGCAAATGTTGGAGCTAGCCAAGGAGATGAAACAGTTGAAGCTATTCGCTCACATCAGTACAGCATACTGTCACCTGGAAGAAAAAGTATAATTTGTTACTATAGTAAAAACTGCATTCTTTTACAACAATAGACTTACCCCATTAAAAGTGTTTGAATTGTTCTTAATATACAAGATTATATGACACAGATAATTACTTTAAATTTCCACTGTAGGTCTTGAAGGAGATACCTTATCCACCTCCAGCAGATCCTCACAAAATAATCAAATGCGTAGAATGGATGGATGACGATGTTGTCGAAGCTATGACGGATAAGATTCTAGCAGGACTTCCAAACACGTACGCCTTCACAAAAGCCTTGTCAGAAGGACTCGTCGAGGAAGCCATGCCACACATTCCAGCAATTATATTGAGGTACAAACACTCGAATGATTTTCTGCATGTTAATCCGCACGTTATTTAAATGACACTTGAAATCATAGGCCGAGTATAGTCATACCTGTTTGGAAAGAACCGGTACCTGGATGGACGGACAATATCAACGGACCGACAGGCCTGTTAATTGGGGCTGGAAAAGGTGTTATTCGAACAATGTATTGCAATGAAAACGGTTACGCTGACTATCTACCTGTCGATATTGCTGTAAACGGTATTCTGGCCACTACATTTAACTTCGTTTACGTCAAAGACCATAAAAAGAGAGTATACAATCTTACAAGCAGTAGCGACTTCAAGGTAAATTATGTTCTAAAACAATGAAATATTAATGGTCCTAAAAATGTGTCAAAGAATATTTGTGACGGTAAAAATGACCATAACATGGGAACTTTAGGTGTCGTGGGCAGAAATTATCGAACTCGGCCGAAAGATAACAGAGAGAGTACCATTAAATGGCGTTGTTTGGTACCCAGGTGGGAGCATGAAGAAATCAAGACTTTTGCACAATATATGCTTTTTACTTTTCCACATGATACCAGCCTACCTCATAGATACACTTATTTTCCTTGCAGGCTACAAACCAATGTGAGTATAGTTTCAATCCTTTATAGGCTAACTGTCCAATTACATGTGATTTTAATTCAGCACGATTTAATAGTATGAAATTATATATGAAAATGATATTGTACGCAGTATGTGTCGTGTGCAACGTCGTATACAAAAAGGCTTTCAAGTTTTCGAGTATTATGCTAATAATCAATGGGACTTTGAGAACTCGAACATATTCGAAGTGAGAAATCTGTTGAATCCGGTGGAATTCGAAAAGTATCAATTACACGGCGATGACATGAATATGGACGCATACTTCGAATCTTGCATAAGGGCTGCGCGAGTTTTCATTCTAAATGAACCACCGGAAACACTACCGGCTGCTCGAAGACACATGAGAGTGTAAGAACCATTTTTTTCAATGAATATTTTGAATAGTACCTTTGCATTTTATTCAGTCGTCAGTACATATGGTCTTATATCTTTATTACAGCATGTATTGGGTTGATGTATTCACAAAGATAATTTTCTTCGTATTCTTGATCTACATATTGGCGTCTTGGAGTGAAAGCTTTAGGACGTTGTTGACGGGGTGCTGGTCGATTGCCACACAGGCATTGTCGCACTGAATTACGTAGTGATTAGTATGTAACACTTCTAGTACCTTTACATTGTAATATAACCAAATAAACTAAGAATGTTAGTGTTATTATCACTATCCTGTTTGTATTCATTGAGTCTTAATAATAAAATGTTATATATATCATACGAAGATATTTTCAATAACAAATATTTACTGTTAAAATTGTATCTCATTAAATAATCTTAAGACCCACTATTTTCTTTCTAGTTGGAAGACGGAAAAAGGTAAACAAAAAAAAAATTGGAAACTACTTTCGCACTGAACGTGACTTTTATTTATATCAAATATTGAAAGAGAATTACTCCCTTAAACAGATTCTTGTACTGGTGGTTCATAGCCTTCTGGTCTGTCGACCTTTGAGCCACTTTCTCCTCCATCTTCTGTCTTGCTACTTGTACCATCTCCATGAAGTTCTAAAAGCTTGCTCAATTCAAAACGTGGTTTCTTCAATACTTTAACCTGTAAGAAGAGTAAGATTATTATACTGTTATTACTGTAATTGTAACAATGCATAAGCAGGGATATGCGTATACTTACTTTACGAATATAGACATCATGGAGTGGGTAAATTCCCTGAGAGGCCTTCTCAATGTCTTTGGCTGTCGCGTCTGGCAAGAGCTTACTGACAACACCCTTCAGGTCACTCTTTGTAACATCATTGGTGATTGTGTCTACCATCTTTTGTCTAATTTTCTTCACCTGCATACCAAAATGCAACCATGGATAAGCAATTTTAGATACACAATAAATTTGTGATATATAAAGAATTATGTAAATGTTGCAACATCCTATATCACTATTCTCTCTTACAAGAATAATGTGGTAAGCGAGTGCACTATTTCTCTATGCAACATGGTATGTCATAAAAGTAAAATCATACTTTCGTGGATTCAAGTTGCAAATATCTAAAATAAACAATTGTGTGCAGATATGACTACAAACCTGTGCATGCTGAGCATAACATGTCTTCCTGGTGCTCAATTGGTCCTTATTAGTGAAACCAATACAGAAGACTCTGAGAAGGTAGCCATCAGTAGTTTTCACATCAACATTAGCTTCAATAAGAGTTTGCCATTTCTTAACCATGGACCTCAATTTGTCTGTGGTCAAGTCCATGCCATGGAAGTTAGTTAATACGTTACGAAGTTGAACATCTTCTGCGATCAACCTGAATTTACGGAAAGATCTCTCTGCATCTCCATCATTCTGTAAATCAGCCAAAGAAACTTCGAATACTCTGTACTTTAGACCCTCAGAAGCAATCTCTGTAAAGCAAAAAGGAACATTTAATTAACAATAAGAATAATCAATTACAGTTGAAAGTTGTTATTAAATTACTGAATAAAGAACAAAAATGATAAGAACATAAACATTTGTAGCAGCATCTAGTTTTAGTATTTCTTTTTAAACAATACCATTGGCCAGAATCTGCTTTTCTTTTGCAACATAAAACGCCATGCAAAGTATTAAAAGCACTTTCATGGAGCTGGAGTTGCAAAATATTCCAAAATAATTGCAAAAATATCTTACTTGTTCCTTGGGTTCTGTTGACCAGTGTTTTGCCAACATGACGGTTGGTAAACATAGATGGTGCCTTAACATCATACCAATCCTTACGGGTAAAAGGATCAACGCTGTAAAAGAGATATAATTAGATCAGTCTTAGAATGCTAGAATTGTAGTTTAATGCTTTTGCTATCATTTAATCATATGTACAGTATCTAAATAACTTGAATAGTATTAAATAATTTGAAAATGAAAGGATGAAGGTTATAATAATACTTATACATTATTGAACAAATGACGCAAATATAATTTAAATTCAATGTTTAAGGGATGTAAGATATTTCACATATACGATAGTGAATATCTGATTTGTTGGTATTCATAGTTTATTCAATCCCGTATCAATGTGAGTCCCATGTGTTAATTATCTATACAAACATCAGTAATATACATTAGGAATTCTGTTAAATATATCGTTAATTGCGAAAAAAACCATATACAATTTTCTTACATTACTTTTCATTCGAATTAATTAAGATAATTAAGAAATGTATCAAAAGTAAAGTACCTGAACGTGGAATACGTGCAAACATTCAAATGTCAGGTGTACGAAATCTACTTTAATATAAGACATCGCGCCAAGTAGAAGCCAAAATATTACATTTTACAAATATTAATGGACTAAAGCCCGAAATAAATACAATATGATTTACTTACATCTTCTTCTTCACTCCCTTTTTACCTCCTTTTGAAAGCCCCTTGTTTTTACCCACCGCCATGATAAAGGTTACAGACGAAAAGAAGCAAGTTCCCACACCACCGGAAACTGGCAGAGCGATCTATGAATTGCCGGTATACAAGCAAACGTTGATTGGTTAATATCTGCAAGTCGGATATTCAAATTTTAAACAATCGTCTTTTAATAAAGTGGCTAACTTATTGAATATTATATAAAAATTAAACCTTACAATTATCAATAATAACGTATGAATTCTTTCTAATTTTCCATTTATAAAGTTGCTTACAATTTTCATATGTAATATGTAATGAACTTTAGCTTACAATTATATTCAGATAACAGTTTGGAATTTATATCGGCTGTATCACAGACAAGATATAGAATATGTAGACCTAACATCGTATGGAACTTCGTATCACAAGTTCTGAAATACCGACTGAGCAAAAAATGAGAAATTTTGTGCTGCCCTCTGCGTTATGAGAACGGTGCGTTCGGGAATTACATTCAATTCAACTTGAAACTATCCAAAAATCTTTGTAAATAAAAAAAAGTCACCCGGCGTTGCTTAGCACTTTGCATAGGGCATAGAGAGAATCGATGTTCTCTTTCTGAAAAAATTAACAAATATTTAGTTAACAATCGCCACAAGTATTAACACGCAGTCATTGTTTAACACTTTGGAATAAAATAAAATTTATTCCACGTCATTAAGTTCATGAAATGATTCATATCTTACAAATTTCTATATACTTCGATTTCTATTTGTTATAATGAATAACAATTCGCATTGTAAAATGGATGATACAATGTTCAACATCTCCCACCGAAGATGTAATTGTTATAAACATTGCACTGCCGAGAATATTAAAGTTATTGTGAAATAATTTCACGCGAATTGAGTAAAACCAAAAATACGGTTCTTAAAACTGTAACAGTCATTGTCAAGGACAGTATCGATCAAACGTCGATCAAAGAATAAATAATTTCTACGAATTTCATGTATTTCAGCAACTGCTTGAAATGTCGTAGGTGGTATTACGAACAGAATACAAAACAAGAAATGATTGTAGTTTGCAGCTGTTAGCTAGTAAAGAAACTAGCAATAAGAGTCAGTTGAGTAAACTAAACGTGTGCACACGCTTTTGTTTTGACCGTTATGAGCATTGTTATCAATGTATTTTACAACCAGGCATGTGTAAAACATGAGGAGTCATATATTTTATGCAATTTACTTGAACCAATCTTGACGTGTATGAACCAACTATTTATTTGTACAATCCTGTATCTTTACATAATCCTGTACTTGTACACCGTATGTAAATGCCAACGTTTCTCATAACTAATTACGCTTCAAATAAACCCACGCACTTGTTTAACATTTAATTCATTATGACGTCTACCTTGTAAATGTTTAGAGCAAAATATTCGTTCGATGAATTTAGACTTAGAACAGTGGAATTCAATTCATAAAAATATAGACAGTAGTGGCGCCAATGTCGATAAAAGTGAAACACTTTGCGACTGATGGGCTACTTACAAACGTGGACATCCGCGATAAAAGTGACAACGAACCATGTCCGAAGCAACTGACAGTGAGTATTTTATGCATTTAGAGTTTACACGTGTCGATATGTATATGGGCATTCCACGCGAAGTCAGACACTTTTTGGAGTAACATTTTGGATATGTTGTAATTTTTAGTGATCTATAAACGTATTTCGAAGGATTTTTGAAAATTGTAAAAATTCAAAACGAGCTTTTTAGGTGCTTACTTTTTAAGTGGAAACTTAAGAGTACTTTATGAAAATTATTTCAGTTAGAAGAATATGTTTTATTAACCATTTATTTTGCAATTCTTTTAAAGAAATGCAATTTTTTAATAGCGAGGCACTATTGAAAAATGTGAAAAAAAATTTAGGATATAGTCCTATTTGTCTTTTCGATGAGCAAACTTCAAAAACTAAGATCACTTGAAAATTGAAATTCAGAAAAAAGAAAACCGTGTGTACTGCACGTTAATTGCTCCAAGTTTCAATCGTTTCATTCTGTACGTGTATGTAGTGCCGCAACATTGAGGAGAACGAGACGCCTTGTCGGAATATTGGCTTCTCGCGGAAAAGTATATAATCAGCATAATGAAGGTAAACGACTCGGGTTGGTGCATTAATCTAAACGGTGAAAAATTATTTTCAACGTGACTATTAAAGACCACATAATTATTTTGACGGACCATTATTTTGTTTTTAGTATGTAAATCATTGGGTCGTCGCGTGGCTCGACTGGAATCTAGCATTGGACGAAGAAGGTGAGCCGACTTATCCTAAGAGAAGCCTCAACGCAGGTATTATCGTGAATTCAAAGAAGGATGAATTTTACAAAACGCCTCTGTATTATGCCATTAAGCACGTCAGCAGATTCGTTGTCAGAAATTCCATCAGAATTTCTATCACCGATACAGAACTGATCAAAACTGCAGCGTTTGTAACACCATCGGACGAAGTGGTTGTTGTACTTTACAACAAGTAAGATCACACGCTTTTATTATTTCGTTTAAAGATTTGTAGAGGTGTAAGATACATAGAAGCACCAGAAAGCTTATTCTAATTAAGCGTTTGTTCCCTGTTCCAGTCAATCTATCCCAGATTCTGTCACTCTAAAGGATCCAGATAAAGGTACAATTCAACTGGACTTAACGCCACGTTCTATGAACACCATCGTGTATAGATTGTAATTATACTTTATACGCAATCCTGTTGTTATTTACATTTCCACGTAATCATTGTTCTGTAATAATAAATCTATGCACTCGACAGGTACTTAGTAATTCAATGTCGAAATCATGTATTATCTGTCAATTTATTTATTTCTTAATTTCGTTGGAACAAAACAAAAATAACGTCCTGATTAACAGTCATTGAAGTAAAGCATCCATTCCATTGTTTGTACGCTTATTTCCGATTTGTATATTGTCTGTTGGAACCATTCACTAGCCAGTTTGATTTTCGTCCTATTAGCAAAAAACACCATTAAAAAATAATTCGGGGGAACAAAGAGAGTTAAAGCGTACTAGTTTATGTAATATGAAAGATAAACAGAGAGTTCGGTTTAAGCATCATTAAACCACAATCAATTATAAACATGAGGATCATCAGATTGCATCAGGGATGAGACTGCAAATTCCTTCTAACCTGTAACCGTGGCGGTAGGGACAATTAGCTAAACAAGGTTAACAAGGCAGCTCGCAAAAATATGGTAGTGGTGTCTGGCAATGAAAATCGTCGAGCGTGCCGTCCTTTAAAAGAATTCCACAATTTTGCCCTCCACCCCCATTATCCGGCTGTCCGCCCCATTTGTTGCTCCAATCGGTGTAGCCTGCCTCGGCGAGCGAATCGTCCAAAATGGTGACCCAATCGCCCTCCGCGTAGCAATCGTGTATACCCAGAAACGCATGGTCCGGATGATCGGTACCGATTATTAGGCCAATTCGATTGAATATCCCTGTCAATACCTACGGAAGAAAAATAATAGAATGTAGGATCCTTAAGTGACTGAACAGTGGTCGACTTACTCGAGCTTCGCTTTTCGAATTCACGATAGCCAAATGGGCGCCTTCCTCTTTGCAACTTTTTCGCGCGTTATTCCAGGTCTTCGCTCTGGTGTGGAGTTTATGCGCCCCAATACCAGGTGTGTAGACATAATCGTCCCGCATTGGCGGTTTCCGTTCCATGAGATCGTAATGAGAAATGATACTTCGCACCACCACGTTACTGTTGTCGTTGTGATTCAACGTGAGATCTGCATTAGGGCAATGACAAATATTCGTGGTCTCGTTCTGTACGTCCAGATCAAGATTGTCATGATAGGTGGTAGCCTCGGTGTTCAAGGTCGCAAACTGCGGCGAATCGGTCATGTCGTAGAATTGTGGCACGGCAAATGTCACCGGTACGCAGACCACCGGGATCAAGTAACTAACGAGGACATTTAACAGCGACATATTTTCGAACGCCCTCTTCTGCAGTGTCGATAAAAGCACTTTGTGAACCGGTCCAACCACTTTTCTCGCACTTTTTCGTTTCAAAGTTGTTCACACGACAGTCTCATTTAAGGAGAGCGTCTACTCAACTGCAATCGAGACGGGATTGATATACCCTTACTGGCTTCTGTCGAATAAGCTGCTGTGACCAGCCAAGACTAACCAAGCCATAAAGCTGAACAGACCCGCCCAAAATAGTCGGTCTTCGAATCGGATTACGCTGCCGGTTGATTGCTCGACGTTCGATTGGTTTCTGCCTGATGAATCTTTATACGGTGCCAGATATAGGAAATAATTGTTTTTCAATCTTGTTATCGAATGATAAAAATGTAAGTGTACGTTTCGTATCTTTCCATTGAAAGTTTAATAGCACAGGATAAAATGAACGAATCGTTTCTGGTATGAAGGACGGATGTCTGATCTGTATATTCTATATCTGAAGATTTTTTACTAGGACGTTATGACAGAAACAATGAACACAAATATAATGGGATGTTCGCCGTATTACGATGTGGAGATAGGTCGATGAGGTTTACTTAGCTATCACAGTAAAGTTTATTGTTTGAAATTGGTAGACATAATCAATAAAGCTCCAATCTACTCAAACCCATTTCAACCCTCTGTGACTCGCGGAATGCAAATGAAATATACAGATACACTATTCTCGCTAAGAACTACTCGTATTCGTGATTGTCGGTAACGTTGGACGCTACACTAAAATACTGTGTGGGCTTCAAGAGCGCGTATACGAAAATATATTATACAAACTTTAGAGTCGGTATTCTATATCTGTGTATCTTACGTGATATGTTTACCTTATACATATCTTGTTTGCTTTGGCTGTATGTTATCAACTAATGATTAGTTACGCTCATTTCCTATAGTAAATTGTTTAAAGTATATGTTAATACATGTTCGTTACATTTGTAACATATAGTCAGAAAGACCACGAATGTCTTTTATGTTGTAAAGAATTTACATGTATCGAGAACTGGATTACTCATAAGATAAATGACGAATATTATATGATAATTCTCTGTAAATTGTTACAAAATTTTTCTTCACATTTATGAAACATTTATACATTTCCTAATTATTATTGTTAGTGTGTTCCTTTAATATGTTCGAATTTGATATTTTCTCTACATAGGAACAGGACCTGAATTATCGACACAGGTACAACTGATGGCGCACTTTACGCCACGATAAGGCAAAAAAAGAGGAAAAAACTGTACTTCCAATAAGAAACGCATCGATACTGTCAAAAATTATTGTGACAGAATTCAGAAACCAAATTGATTAAAAATCATATTCATGCATCAATGTATAAAAATCATAATGAGTACTGACTATTCATCAAGTACACATTATGACTCTACTTCTTAAACCCTAGTTCCAAATTGAACACCTAAAATATACAAAATTTTACGTAATTTTCAAACATAAAATTTATCATTCTACTCACATAATTGATCATCATTGTAAAAGTAAGCGTCCGCTGCTCAAACGAATCACTACGCACATATTCCACTGTTCCAAGTAATTTGAATCAAGTCCAACGTTAAACCGCCAGTAATCCTTTTACTTCCATTCTCCATTTTCAGTTTTCCACGGAACAAGTAAAATAGAACACAGTCGGTCGTCCCATCGAAGTTAATTGATTCGAACGTTAACAAACTCCGTGCCACGGATATCCACCTGGTATTCGTACACGGTGTTAAAACTCCGGAAAGTTCGAATCCGCTGACCGCAGAACGTTTATCCTGCGCTCGGTTAAATCCCGGTAAGAAACCTAGGGCAGGACTAGAGAATCCTCCGGTTCGGATCGGGATACTCTCGCTCGAAAGTAACGGCTATCCGATTGGAATCGAACGCATTAGTTAATCCCGGTTCCGTTTTCCTTCGTAATTGCTTAAATCTTTGGGGGGAAAAGTTTGGAGCGAAGCCCCGCCGGTAACGCGCAGACGTCGGCGAAGGGCGCATGCTGCGCCACTGCCGCACCATGGGGTAAGGTTAGATTCGGTTCCACGTCGTTTTCCAACCCTCTCCTCATGTTCAGTACACCCCAAGCTATCAGTGCGGTCGGTAGGTTTCACACACCGTGTACACTTATCGTCCGCGAATACACGCGCGTAATACAGAAACTGAAAGACACGCGTGCATCGCGATTTATTAATTCGTCCTCCGTACCTAACGTTCGACCGTTCTTAACCTCCGGCCATTCCTAACCTCGATTATCGATTCAACCATTGATACGTTGATTCGCGTGATCCGTCGATTGGATCGATAGTCGATGAACTCGATAGAAAACATGAGAGTTCGAGTTTCTGCGTAGTTCCGCTTACGTTTCGGAACGCGACCAAAGTCATACCGCGAAACGTGCCACTGTTTTGTTTTCCAACCGAAGACCTTTCCGGTAGATCGTGGAATCGTACCGACCACACCGATGCGAAAATGCGCAAGGGACACCGGTGTCATTGAACACAGATGAAACGGAGTCTCGCGGCGGTGTTTGTGCTAGTGACCGTGAAAAGATTTTTAGTACGAACCAGCCTCGGCGGAACCAGTCGCATAGCGTGAGTAGAATGATTTACACTTTACAGGATTAATGTTTACTCTCGCACTTCTATCCCGCGACACTTTTCTATCAATAGGGGATGTGCGTGGGCCTGCTATCGAGTTCCTTTAATGTAATTGACTTTAAGACTTCTCGTAGTACGAAATGCTTCCACCTAACCGTTTCCCTCTTATTATTCGTGTCACTTCCGGTTACAACAATACTCGTGCGCAGTGTCGAATTACTTGCGTATACGCCACATGCAAAGCACGCATCTAAACTCGCAACCTAGCCCAACCTGACCGTTCAAACACCGATGTCAACAAACGTGACTGGCCTGTACCGCTAGTTCAGAAACTGTCTCTCGTAATACCAGTTCGAATATGCAAAAACAGACTAGAATATCACGTGTTCCAGTATTTAATATCCATCAGAAATATAACCGGCGTAGGTTGGATGCATAATTGCAGTTGGTCCTATTTACCGGGGCCGACGGTACCAAAAGATGCGTAAATGAGGCCACGAACGTCAAAAACGTGACGGTGGTCGGGGTTGGAGAGTGAGAAGGGTGATGATACGAAAAGGGGATGAGAACCAGAGTGAGAGAGCACGATCCGAGGGATGAATTGAACAATTCCCTCGGTTCTGGCTGCAAAGTGCAACACACGCCGGATGAATACGGTGTGAGAGACAGTCTGCATATCCGTTCAGTCACGTAGCTGTGTATGTCTGTGACATCTACTGATGCTGGCTGGTAATGCGCACGCGCCTCCACCTGTAGGATACACGCTGGTGTACCAGCGAAGCTAAATGCTAGATTTATCCGCCGGTGAAACAGGGCACCGTCGGAGAGCAACCCGGATCAATAGAATTATGTATACTTCTTTTTTCGTCTTCTTCGTTTTCTTCCCGTTCCTGCCTTCTCGCGGAAGAACGCATCTCTTTACCCGAGCACTTTCCTACCCATTCGGTGGCGGTGTTCGGAGTCACACGGGAATTTCGCGGAGAGTCGCGCGGTTCCGTAACGCGGTACGTGTAGGAGCAAAACCCGATGGCAACGACGAAGTGGGGGGGGGGGGGAATGG